TCTTATTGAAAGAAGTACAAAGGAAATTCAAAGAAAAGTAAGTTGGAAATTAAAAACGTGCCAGGCTCTATTTTATTTAAAGTCGCTTTAGATAATATACAAATAAACTGGAACACGTCGTTGGTCAAAGAATATTTTTTTTGGTTATTCTATTGTTTTATATTTTTCTTATAAAAGTTTTCCATTGATATAAATTAGTGATGTCTCTTTAGCGAATTCAATTACTCTGTCTCTATAAAGAAATGTGTTCCGAAGCATCGGTTTTAATTTTTATATTTAATGTCTAATAAAATCAAAATGTCTCTTGAAAATTATATCAAGTTATTTAATTTGTTAAATATTAATAAATATTTTCTTTTTTCATATTAACTATCAAAGACATAGTTAAATAAAAATAGATAATTAATATAACTATTATATTTATTTACTAAAGTAAAGAAAACTGTAGAATTGTATTAAGAATTAACTTTTGTTTAAACACGAAACCTATTAATTTAAGAATGAAATTTCTATTGATATAAAGATGAAAGCTACTTTTTGACCTAAAAAATATCGTGATTCAAAAGTCCAAGCAATCACAATACTTTTTGTTAGAATAAGTCAAACTCGTTGTGTATCTCGGTTGGATATTGTGAATATTAGGTAAGGATGTTATTTATATCTGTACTGAAGGAATCACAGATGAAGTATAATTAATTATAAGAATACGTCGACTCAACGAAGATCATTTTTAAATCAAAGCTGCTATTGAACTATTTCTTTCGATACTTACTCCTAAGTACATTTAGTGTAAAAATATAATATAGTAGATAGATACTTACTATAGAATATATTTGTTTAAAAATCTAAATAATCAATGATATACTTTTATATTGATATTATTATATTAAGATAATAATTTAACAACAATTTAACAAATAGTTTCAGTAAATATCTTGTGAAACAATACAGTAAAAATATATGTTTTTAATTTGATAACATTAAAAGGTGGATTAATAAACATCGTGTTTGAGGAATACTATAGAAATCATAACTTATTATAATAGTTTTTAACTTTTTTTAATATAAATCGTTTTTTAAAAATATTTATACAATATTTTTTCTGAAATTGTCCCTATCTTAATATAAACGTAACAGTTGAGAATGTAAGAGACATGCCTATATTAATTCTCTTTGAAATATGATGAATACCTTAACAGAGATTTCGGTACTTTCATCTTACAAAAATATATTAAATGTTAGTCGTAGTTACGTCAGTATCAAGACAAGTAGTATTAGCAAGGAATGGAATATTAACTATAATATGTATAATATAAGATATAAGTTACTAAGTAAATAAAAAATAAACTAGCTGAAAAGTATTTTATTCTCTATAAAGATAATAAAAAAGAGAAAAAATGTAAAAGAGAAAGTACATATGAATAACTTTAGAATTTATATAAATTTAACATAAGTAATATTTTTAGACTATGATGTCATAATAAATATTAGGTCGTAATACTTATGTAAACCCTAATACATGTTTAATGATAAAAGGAGTGTCATTAAAACAATATACATGTGTAATTAAGTTAATATATTATTGCTGCATAAAATGATATTAATGTAAAATAAATAATTTTCATTGTTGTAAATATAGGAATTGTTTTTGTGTATGTTTTTTTTACATGATCCAAAAGGGCAAGCAGGTAAACGGAGAGTATTCACGGTCTGATGAAAAGCAGTTACTGTCGCCCAGAGACAACTGCAATATAAGGGGTGTTGCAGATGTGTTGCTGACCTTATTAGGGGAGGAGACACCTGAACACTTAATGTTTGAAGACCATTCAATACACTGTACGTGCATGGAAAAAATACCGCAACGCACGTACATCTGGGTAGTGTGGATGAAATCCGAACATACAGTGAGTAGTGCGATGGTAGAAGTGTGACATTGACACAACGTCAAACAATGTCTTGGAACATTCCTAGTTCTGCAGACGATTGTACGCACAGAAGGGGCTCGCATAACATCGGAGGCTTAAGGGTCTTAGATCGTGTGTGAGCATGGGATCGTTGACAGTGCGAACAGACCTCTGTTGTAAGGGGTCAAGTGGAAGAAGTTGGTACTATGAGGCACCGGACCAGCACTAAGAAAACAATACTCCACGTAGTGATGAACATGTGCTTTGTATAGTATACCAATTGTACCGACGTGAAGTTCTGCCTCGCTCTAATTAGTAACAATAGTTTTTTAAAGGCTTGTTTAGTTTTAGCCTCCAAATGTCTCCGAAAATTAATGTCCTTCGCAATGTCAACCAGCCCTGCAATTGCACAGATGGCAACACGGCAATGGCATGGTAGCAATTAGGATCCTGGAACCATGGGAATTTAATAGGAAGGAGAAAGGCCTCAATGCAAAATATAAATTTCACATTACAGGTAGTCCTTGAATTGGGCGTTGATATAAAAAAAAATCCAATAAAAATAATAACAATTATAAAAATAATATTCCTCTAATATCAATCAATCTGAATTTGAAAGCGCTGAGTAGTCTGACTTTACATTTGAATTTCTCTTAAGGTATGAAAGCTTCTCTATAATTTATTTTATTCATCACACTTCAACTCATGTCTATTTGTATAAGCATTCATTAAACATATTTGTATGACGGAGTATGCACAATACGTTGTGTAAAGTGCCTTATTTTGGGAAAACTAGTTGATATTTTGGTTTCATTAATCTGGGAAAACTAGTTGATATTTTGGTTTCATTTCTTTCATGTTTGTATTTAAATGTTTTCGTTTATTTGAGTGATTATATTTGGTTGATAAAGGTTAAGAATTTGAAGAGAAGATACTCAATTCATTTGACAATACATTGACGATATGTCGTTTGAACTATGTAATTTTGTGAAAGCTGTTTGTTTGTTTAATTAAGATTATTTTAAGTTTTTAAGTGTATTTCTTATTTCTTTTAATTTGTTTGATTGTATTTAGTTGATTAATATTGTGAATGTATTTTAAAAAGTAACTCAATTTATTATAAAGAGCCGACGCTAACGTCAGTTAGATTGTCGAGTGGGGTTGCGAGAGGCGCCAACTTCATAGTAGTGAGCAAGCATATAAACTGCAGCAGTCACACTGCAAGGACAGTGCTCATTTGGACGTAGTGTTGGACGCACCCTCGGAAATCCACGTGGCTCGATTTCATGTGTTAATCAAAAAGCAAGAAGTGAAGTAAAGTGAAGTGAAGTGACTTTAAAGTGTTGTGAAGTGTTTTGTGAAGTGTTAGTGGTTAGATATCAAATAAGAGTGAATTACAAGACCCTGATGCACTCGGCAATCCGACATCAGAAGTTGGGAATCACCCAGATACGCACACTCCAAGTTGGAGTCCAATTCTCCAATCCGAACACGACAAATGGAGGAAACTTTTTCATTTACAACATCGTTACATGCTTAAATTGGAGGGCGCCCAAAGATGATGCAACGAAGAGTACCGCCACAGAGGACTGCCAAATGTTACCGATGTGGACAACCGGGGCACATAGCGCCTACGTGTTCAACTAAATCTGGGAAAACTGTTGAACAACCAGATCCGACCGAACGGCGGGTAGATATCTGCACCGTCAGTCCTGCTTCAGGAGACCTTTATAATTTGGGTGAGAGATTTCCTTTTTATTTTGATTGCGGTGCTCAGTGCACTCTTATCAAAGAAAGCATAGCACAAAATTTTTCTGGTAAACGATATCACAATACTGTCGTTTTGAAAGGTATAGGTAATAATAGTTTAATATTAATAATAACTGACTCTTTCAGAAACACTTGGTCACTGACCCATGTGACGGGAATATTGTTAGGGAGATATATCTTCTTCTTCTTCTTCTTCTTAAGGTGCCTCTTTGACTAGCGAAGGTTGGCTGTCAGCTCCGCATACTTTTTTTTTCTGTCTCTTGCGAGGTGGAAAAGATGTCCACTCTCTGATGTTTCGTAGCCATGACTTTCTTTTACGAACGACACCTCTTCTACCGGCGACTTTTCCCATCATAATGATTTAGAGGAGTTCGTATCTCTCATGCCTAAGCACATGTCCGAGATAAGCAACTTTCCTCATCTTGACGGTCTCACATCCGTAAAGAAGGATGGGTCAGATGTAACATTTAAGAAGACGGATACGCAAATGCAATTTAAGGTTGCGATAGCAAAGAATTGTTTGCATCTTCTTAAAGGTGTTACGGGCTATTTCGATACGTGTCCTGATTTCTAAATCATTGTCCCAATTTTCCTTTAGCCACGTACCCAAATATTTACATTTGCGCACCCGCTCCAGATTTTGGCCAGCCACGGTTAATTTGTCATCACTCACTTCGCCTTTAGATCCAATCATGAGCTTCGTTTTACCGATGTTTATTTTGAGGCCTGCTTTCTCGCTGCAATCATTTACTCGGTTAAGAACCTGCTGCAGATCCTTAAGTGACGATGCTATAAGTACTGTGTCATCTGCGTATCTCAGGTTGTTAATATTGCGTCCATTGATTTTAACTCTGCAATCTAGATCGTGCAGTGATTCAGTCATTATTGCCTCCGAGTATTCATTAATCAGCAAGGTTGATAAGACACAGCCCTGCCAAACACCCCTCTTTACATCAACATCTTCCGCTTCCTCATTTTCAACCCGAACATTTGCTCTTTGATTCCAGTACAGAATCTGTATTATTCGAATATCTTTGCTGTCTAATCCGGTGCTGTGTAAAAGGTCTACAAGACGGTCATGCTGTACTCGATCAAACACTTTTTCGTAATCGATGAAGCAAAGAAAAACGTCTTGCTGCATATCTCTGCAGTTCTATACTAAAGTACTGCAAAAAGAGCTTCTCTAGTTCTAACACTAGAACATCTTCTCGCGTTTGTTTTCTTTGGAAGAGTGACAAAAGTTGACGACAGCCAGTTTTGAGGTAGCCGACCAGAATCGTAGATGTCATTCATAAATTTAACGAGAACGTCGATGATGTGTGGATATTATCTGGTCCATGTGATTTTTCCAGTCTTGGCTTTACCTAGAGCCTTCTCTATTTCCTCTGGTAAAATAGAGTATCCATCGTTCGCGGCATAAGGTACATATTCACTCCGTGTATCGTCACCAAACATGGATGTAATATATTGCTTCCAAACCTGTTTCTTCCTGTATATAACCATGATTGGTACATTTTGTTCATCCACGTTATGGTTTGTGAACTTTTTACTACCTAGAAAGGTCTTTATTACTTTATATAAATTAAATGCGTCATGTTTGTTATAGAGGGATTCTAGATGTTCACACTTGTGCCGGTACCAGACATTACGAGCGAGGCACGCTTCTCTTCGTGCTGCTCTGTGGGGTTCTCTGTATTTGGTTGTATCAGTGTATTTGCGGGGTTTGCGCTCTTCCCTTAGTTTGTGGATTTTTTTCTGTCGTCCAACTGTATTTGGGAGTCCAGTCGGGCTTTGGGTGCAGTCTATTAATTTCCAGTACTTTGGTTTTTGAAGTGTTCCGGATGTCTTCGGGTGAAATGATTGCCTGTGATTTCGCACTCCGTGCCCGGTCATTTATTTCCTTCGCCACTTTATTCTTAATGTTGGCACCTTTTAGTTTGTTTATGTCGACCGTAACGTTTTGTGACTTGTTCCTTATTTTCTTAAGGGTACATGCTGGAGTGGTTTTGACTGGATTATGATCGGACCCAGTATCGGCTCCGGGTTGTGTTTTTGCACTTTTAATGCAATTTCTGAAGCGGCTATTTATCGTTGTGTAATCGATTGGGGAGATATATGGGAGGAGTAATGGTAGTAATAATGAATCACTTTGTTTCCGGAGCCATGTTCCGGTTTTGCAGACACTTATTATTTGGTGAATTTGATACACTGCAGGTGGACAGATGGGAACTTGAAGGCTAGGACAGGGGCCTTGAATTGATATTAATATTATGAGTATGAGCTTTGACCGCACAGTAGCCGTTGGCATACCCCTTGATAGTGTGTGTGTGTGTTTTGGACCAGTGCTTTAGCAGGTATCCTGCATTAATGCTCGAGCAAGCCTTAACCAATGAGTTATTTGGTTTGAGTATATCTCTTCCAGGTGCTCGCAATTCTTACACGCATCAGTGTACTTTCCTTTCAATGAACATTTCTGACGCGCTACAGTATCGTGGTAGTCCGAACAGTAATCGAAACGTGTTATTATATCCCACCCGCATAGCGTTAATGGCACTTTGTGTGTATTTGAACCACAATTCGGCTGTATAGAGACACATATAATAGGTACGAAATAATATAGATTTCACCTCATCAGTGCATAGTCTGAATCTTCGTGATATCATGTTCGCGCGTATGGTTATGCTCTCCTTTGCCTGTTGATATCATCGACATCTGAGAGGTCGTCCCTTATTATATGCTCTAGAGTATTCAAAGTATTTTGTTGAAGGTGTCCCCATAAGTAGAGTTACATCAGGCCAATTAGAAATAAAATTAATTGATCCAAGTCGCACTGTTCAACGTCGTCCCTATAGATTAAGCATAGATGAACGAATGGTTGTAAGAGAAAAAAATTCGTGATCCCCTAAATGCCGGAGTCATACGTGAAAGCTGTTCTCCTTTTTCTAGTCCTGTGTGGTATACATCTTGTCAAGCATCTGTGTGAACTTGGCAAAGATCTGTGTGGTATACATCTTGTCAAGCATCTGTGTGAACTTGGCAAAGATCTGTGTGGTATACATCTTGTCAAGCATCTGTGTGAACTTGGCAAAGATCTGTGTGGTATACATCTTGTCAAGAATCTGTGTGAACTTGGCAAAGATCTGTGTGGTATACATCTTGTCAAGCATCTGTGTGAACTTGGCAAAGATCTGTGTGGTATACATCTTGTCAAGCATCTGTGTGAACTTGGCAAAGATCTGTGTGGTATACATCTTGTCAAGCATCTGTGTGAACTTGGCAAAGATCTGTGTGGTATACATCTTGTCAAGCATCTGTGTGAACTTGACAAAGATCTGTGTGGTATACATCTTGTCAAGCATCTGTGTGAACTTGACAAAGATCTGTGTGGTATACATCTTGTCAAGCATCTGTGTGAACTTGACAAAGATCTGTGTGGTATACATCTTGTCAAGCATCTGTGTGAACTTGACAAAGATCTGTGTGGTATACATCTTGTCAAGCATCTGTGTGAACTTGACAAAGATCTGTGTGGTATACATCTTGTCAAGCATCTGTGTGAACTTGACAAAGATCTGTGTGGTATACATCTTGTCAAGCATCTGTGTGAACTTGACAAAGATCTGTGTGGATTATATATTGTCGAACCCGTATGTAAAGCCTTTGTTAAAATCTTTGTACTGTGATTTTGATTTTCATATAAACGATAATTAGTTCGTGTTGAGTTAGATGAGATATAATGTTTACAGTCTTTAAAAAAAAAAAAATTAGTTCAGTCAGAATAGCCGAGCGTTAAAGAATACCATAATTATTTGATTTTAGTTTCTGACGAGACACACGAGGACGTGTGATATTGCAGGATGGCCGTGACGGAGTATGCACAATACGTTGTGTAAAGTGCCTTATTTTGGGAAAACTAGTTGATATTTTGGTTTCATTAATCTGGGAAAACTAGTTGATATTTTGGTTTCATTTCTTTCATGTTTGTATTTAAATGTTTTCGTTTATTTGAGTGATTATATTTGGTTGATAAAGGTTAAGAATTTGAAGAGAAGATACTCAATTCATTTGACAATACATTGACGATATGTCGTTTGAACTATGTAATTTTGTGAAAGCTGTTTGTTTGTTTAATTAAGATTATTTTAAGTTTTTAAGTGTATTTCTTATTTCTTTTAATTTGTTTGATTGTATTTAGTTGATTAATATTGTGAATGTATTTTAAAAAGTAACTCAATTTATTATAAAGAGCCGACGCTAACGTCAGTTAGATTGTCGAGTGGGGTTGCGAGAGGCGCCAACTTCATAGTAGTGAGCAAGCATATAAACTGCAGCAGTCACACTGCAAGGACAGTGCTCATTTGGACGTAGTGTTGGACGCACCCTCGGAAATCCACGTGGCTCGATTTCATGTGTTAATCAAAAAGCAAGAAGTGAAGTAAAGTGAAGTGAAGTGACTTTAAAGTGTTGTGAAGTGTTTTGTGAAGTGTTAGTGGTTAGATATCAAATAAGAGTGAATTACAAGACCCTGATGCACTCGGCAATCCGACATGTATTTATATTCTTTGAATAATTGGTTTTGAAATATATTAATGAGTATTTTATAACGTAATAAAATATGTTTATAATTTGTTATATATAAATGAAAGTAAATCTTTCGAATAACTACGTGTTTTTGATTATTTTGCTATACATTTTTCCGACATTCCGACGCTTTTCAGCAACGATAATCACGGCAAGACCAGATGAAATATCTATTTTGCTATATTTATTAAAATACTTCTATAAGTCATAACGCAGTAAAATGAAATGCATTTTGATATAGATCCACTTATTTGAAAATCACACATATATTTATTATGTAAATTTAGGTAAGAAAATTAACGGTACGGAAGAAATGGTTGGTTTGCAATGAAATATTCCTAAATGAGACGAAAAAACTGCCAGAATTAATAAGAGCTATAAAATAATGCAAGAAAAACTCTCGAAAGTTAAAATCTCTCGAAAGCGTCAAACTTTTTAGTGAAAATGTGCAAATAGTAGAACATATTTTTATTTCAAAAAGAAACTATAAATCTCAGTTTATATATCTTTAGACGTACTCAAAGGTTTTATTCGAAACATTTAGATCAAATCGTACGTAACGGGTGTAGCGAGGTTCTATTTACTTCACCATCATTTATTCAAGGCTCACGTAAGCTCAAAACTATACGACAACTAAACCAGAGGTCTTAAGTCTCTTGGAATTGGCAAAGGAATTGCAAATGAGAGAATGTTTTGCATGAGAAGGAAATAATTTATTCGATGCATATTATTAGGCATAAAGCTCAGTTTTACCGGTAAATAAATTGTATTAAGAATAAAGTATAGGACAGAAATTGTCAATCAAAAAGATTTCAAAAATTAAAAATAAACAAATTGTATGGATACGATAACGGTTTATTGACCAGAAATCTGGATTACTATGTTCTACAGTAATATTTACATTAAATTGTATTAGTCAATAAAAGTAAGCTATTCAATATTTATTAGAAAATAAATTATTCTAAAATTCCTAAATCTTTCTGTGGATTTTAATTCACTTAAAATATACAATTTGTTCAAAGGAGGATTGTCATGAGCACAGTATATGTATTGCAAAAAGTAGAGATTGTTGTAAGTTTTCTGATATCATGGATTCAATAAGATAAAAAAATTACAAAAGGAATCAACTTGAAAAGTAGTGTCATGGAATGTAGAAATATTTTTTAAAACTATAAAGTTGTGAAAAAAAAAAAAAAAATAGAATAAACATAAGTTTCTTGAGGATTCACCATTTTTATAAGTTTTTGTAAGTTGAATAATTTTTTTTCGATTTTTGCATAATTGCTTAAAAATTTGTTAAGTGTTTATTAATTTGTAAGTAAAAGAAACAAAAATGACTATTACCTATAAAACATGTCATATTCACTCAGTTTAGTAGATTACAAAATTACAAGTAGTAGTAAAGCATTCTTAGTGGATGAAATAAATTACGGATAATACAAACCTCAACACTATAGGTAATAAATTCTTCTAACGTTCTAATAAAACTCGTCGCTATTGATTGGAAGAAGTGTCTATTCAGACAAAGGTTGGTAAATATATCAACTGGTTTTCCTTTTTAGCTCTTCAAGGAACAATCAAATCACTGTATTATTTTTTTGTGTCTTAACTGTAACTCAGTTGTTATTATTATAATTATACATATATATTTATGATATCAGACAAAATAAATTCAGGATGAATTGTGAATGATAAAAAAATGATTTAATAAACAATAATGTATATATTTTTTATTCGAACTAGCTTTGAGAGCTTGAAGAAATTACTTTGGATGTAGAACTTACACGCTTTTAGTAAAATTGATAAAAAAATATGCCTTTCGCAATATATGTATGCATTAGGAATATGAAGTATTACTGAACTCAAACTCTTTTAATAAAAGTGTTGGTAAAATTTCCGTTAGCATTTATATTGTTTCTTACACTCATAGCGACTTTTTTTTTGTAATCACTTTAGTAACTTCATACATAAATTTCAGTAGCTTATGTGTAAGTTGTTAATGAACACCTAATGAGGTGTACCTTCATTTCCGTATACATTAGTTTCAGTTAGATTTAGAATTCTTATATATAGAAAAATATATATAAATAATAAAATATAGGGTATTAGGTTTAATTATTATCAATAATTATATTTTATCCTTGATTATTAATTATTATTCACGATTTATACGAATATCATGTCATAGAAGTATTGAAATTAAATTAATATAAAGAAACATTAACATAATATTTTGTAAATACATTATGTTGTTTAGTGAAAATAAAGAAATATTTTACTTTTATTATTATATTTTTTAGGAGTGGTTGAAA